TTTGTTCGGTCTGTAATATGTCAGGAAATAGTGAAAAGGTTTCCCAAAGTCACGTCTTTATTTTGTCCACAACTAAAAAATATTCAGTTTATTGCCTTAGAGGAGTAAAGAAAGCTAAAAATATACACAGGTGAGAATAATTAATTAAGAGAATTATGAGAAGAATTAATCAATTATGAAATGAGTTGGTGATCAATGTGATAGTTGACAGCTATTAGTATTGTATAGATCTGTAGTTCCTGTGTACCTGCACATATAATGTCAACTGTCCTATTCATGTTGTTAAAATAGATTGGTGTAGAAAGTGAGTTCTGGTGTTGATATGAAACTCCGTACAGTGTGAACAAACTTATTGGGCAGAAATATTTGGAACAGACTGCAGTTGGATTTGTTCATGACACAACATTACAGAGTGAGTCAGCTGTTTGTTTCCTGACGGCATACAGCAGGGCAGAGCTCACCTAGCCTTTTATGGATACTGCTTGTAAGTTCGAGGAGACAGCTGCTTGTTCTTTGACCTCTGAGTTTCACTTCGAGTATCTTCACTTTCTCTTCAAAGGAATTTTGTGCTTTTGCTCTCTATCTCTGCGTACAATCCCAGACCAAAGAGTGACTGTAGACTGTGTCAGAGATATTTGTGGTGATGTTGGAGTTGCAGAAAACTAACAGATGTCAGTTAGTGCAATCAGTGATGTTATGTTTCTGTCGGGACGCACCGATATTTCAACATCGGTATCAATTTGTGCTGGTCAAATGTTGTGTTGGTTATTTTTGGTTAAACGCCGACAACAACTGTCAGTGGTAAAACCAAAAACCCTGTTTTTTTTTTTCATGGTACATCACCGTTTTTGTTGATTTCTTATTATTTTGCGTGACTGTGTCTTCATCTGTTGTAGTCAGTTTACAGAATATTAAAGCTTTTTAATTACAACATGTTTATAGTGAAGGGTTTAATTATTATAGGGTTTTATAGGGCAAAGAAATCAGAATGTTAACAATTTTTATTGTGCAAACTTCAACATAGGAAAAATGCCAAATGCTTTAATGTTTCTTTCTTTTCAAAACTAAGTATTTTAAGAACACTAAAGTGGCTTAAATGGTCTATGGCACAAGCCAATTGTAATAACTTTTTGTCCTGTTATTAATGGCTGTGTTATGAACTTATAAACATGAGTAAGAAAGGTTTCGTGTACCCATATTATTTTGTGAATATTGACATGTGAGGGTGTCGGTGTGAACAGGTGAGGTTCTGTTGGTGCTTCAGTGAGTGACACAAAGGTTGAGTGTGAGGCCGCAGTATTACAGTCTGCTCACAGAGGTACTGTGGGGACTCACTGGTCCATATATCTGCTGACTCCATTAACCGGAGTTAGCAGATATATTGCTTTGCTGATATTCCTTTTTTGTGTTTTCTTTAATAACAAAACTGTAATTTATTTCAGTTTTTCACTGTTCTAAACTTGGTGTATCTGAATCAGTCTGGAGCTTTTACGGAGCCCTGTATTGTGTGTTTAACCTCCCAGAAGTCATTTTCATATGTTACAAACTGCTGAGAGACATTGTGCTGCTTTAACTCCATAATTTAGGTGATATTTGCATTTTTCTTCCTTTAACTCTTGCAGTATGCATGTCGTTTCACAGTAACGGTTCTCCCTGCTGGTTGAAACTGAGCTGTCAGAATATTATATTCAAATGTGTTAGAAGTTTAGGATTACAGTGTGTGTGTGTGTG